CATTTATTTTAAAGGACACTATGGAGACTTTGTAATTTTTCAGTCTTGTACATGCTTATTTTAAAGGATCACTATTTCTGTTTTTCTTAGATTTTTAGCTTTCCAAAGGCTACATCAGTGGTAACGACGTATTAAAAACTGGACTCATATCTGTCATATGTGAAATTATACACAGGGAGGGACACTAAGTAGTTCCTCGGCCCTCTCTAATCTCCAGTGTGCCTGTCCTGCCCAGAGAGGTCCCTGATGCTCAGGCTGTGTGACAAATATCGTAAGGTAGGGTAACATCCCTTTTGATAGGAACGATCACAGAAAGATATTTAGCACAAACACGTATGCTCTTGGGATTCATTTTGAAAAATTAGGGGGAATTTAGCATTTGTCATCTTAGATTCCCTTTGAAGTGAGTTTGGGTTAGTTATGAGAACACATACTCATCAACAAGGCTGAAGTAGCCGAGGTGCACCGTGAGGCTGGGAACTCACACAACATTGATGTAGTTCAAAGGTGGAGACGCGGCTTCTGCCCACTGAGGCATCCTCCTGCGTAAACGCCTCGGGGAATCCAGTTCTGTGAGCTTGGAAGATTATCTTTCATTGTCAGAACTTTCATGTTCTTAAGACACAACCATAAAAAAGAGGAGATCTTCAGGCCTCCTTCCCCGCCTTCTGGTAGAGTCCTACATCACCGACCGTATCGCACACTTTGAAACCAGGCACATTCCCCTGTGGGGAACGCGGGCAGCTTTTTGTGAGAAACATCAGGGGCTTCGGGCTTAGAGGAGATAGGAGAGCTGGCCCCAAATATTTGGTGAGTTTTCAAGTGAAGAGGGCCCCCAACGACCAACCCGGTGGAAGAAGAACCAGTTGGATGGCAGATTTTAGAGGAGGCCAATTGAATGAGAAGTTTCCTAAGACTTGTAACGTTTCAACAAAAGAACAAGTGTCCCCAGGGTCTTCAAGGAAGGGCCACCTGATATCAGCCAGGGGTAGAGGACAGAAGCAAGAGGTTCAGCCTAAGGTTCACAGGCCCTCAGCATGTCCTGAAAAGAAAGGATTCCAAGTAATTTCTTGGTCCTGTTGGATACATTGACATTCTGAGTTGTGAAGAAGGTCGTTTATCCTGTCCCAGTCTCAGAATCACCTCCGTGTATTATTTCCCCCCCAAATAGTGGAATGTAAATACTCCAAAGGGCACAGGGGGGTTGCGGGAAGGAAACATAAAGGAACAAAACGAGTCAGGTGGGCATTGTGATAAAATGGAGCTAAAGTCTGTTGAGAAGGGCTTGTACCTCCTGCTTCCCTTTGCCATGTGGAAATTGAGACCCAGGGTTGCCAACTCTGAATTTTCAAGGAAAGCAGGAAATAAAGGTTTTTTTTTTTTTTTGTTTTGTTTTGTTTTATGTGAAAGCTCTTGATCTTTGAAATGTTGGTGACTAAAAAACATTCAAAACACTGTAGGATTGAAGGGGGGCGGGGTTTCAAACTGCAAATCCAGTTTAGCCCTCAGGCCCCTTTCCTGTGACATCTGGAACAAGCAGGGAGATAATAAAGTGAATGAATAAGTAACTATTCTGGTCACAATGAGAGCCACAGATGAGACTTTGTGATTTTTCAGTCTTGTATCACTAACTTTGTCATCATTTATGCCATGTGATACCTTAATCGTGGGGCTTGGGTCTCCTAAACACATTCACTGTCCTCAGAGCAGGACAGAGATCTCAAGAGTGTAAAAATATTCCAGGTGCATGTATGTAGTCAGGGCTCCTTTGTAGAATATCGTCAACAGCGTACCATATTGGGGGTATGATGGGGTGGTGCAGTCGGAGAGACTTGAGGTGACATTCCTATGTCCTCCTCACCTGTGGGCGACTGTGGGAAGGTCACTTAACCTGAGTCCTAGGTTTTGGGCCCAAAAGTTGGGGAATAGGATACATACTCACAAGGTGGGTGTGGGTTTGAGTGGAAGGAGGTTTATGAAGCACCCAGCAGAGGGCTTGATGCAAAGTTGAGTTCCCTAAATTTTTCTCTGGAATCTTCCCTCTCAGTCATTTAGAGGATTTCTATTGAGGGGCATCTGGGTGGCTCAGCGGTTGACTGCCTGCCTTTGGCTCAGAGTGTGATCCCGGAGTCCTGGGATCGAGTCCCGCGTCAGGCTCCCTGCATGGAGCCTGCTCCTCCATCTGCCTGTGTCTCTGCCTCTCTCTGTGTGTGTCTCTCATGAAAAAATAAATCTTTAAGAAAAAAGAGATGATTTTCTGTTGAAAAATATGAGCATTGTCGGAGTTCCTCCAGGAAAAACAAACGAATGAATCAAATAAAAACAAACAACATAACCAACACAATTCATGTGATGGTTAATTTTATACATCTTAGCCGGGCCACAGTGCTCGTATTTGGTCATTATTTGGTCAGACATTATTCTGCATGTATCTGTGGAGTTGTTTTTTTTTGGGTAAGTCTAATATTTAAGTCGGTAAACTTTGAGTAAAGCAGATTTACCTCCATGATGAGTGTGGGCCTCACCCAATCAGTTGAAGATCTTAATAAAACAAAAGCTGGCTTTCCCAGAGCAAGAAGGGATTGTGCAAGCAGAGAGCCTTTGGGTTCCAACTGTGTATGTAGACAAAACATGTGGATGTGTGTGCATCTCCACCCGTCCCACTGGCGTGGGTGGACAGTCGTCCAGGAATCATGCCATTGACACGGTGCTGTGACATCACAGGGTGAGGAAACGACAGTCGCATCACTGCCACCACTAAACACACCCGTTTGTCCCACACCCACGCTACAAGGCATGGCCGGATGACGCTCCTCACGTGTAACCTGCACTAGCTATGGGTCGTAACCCAGGGCCTCATTCCCACCGTGAACAGGATTGCACCAATCAACATTCGTTCTGTAGTTTATGGGGGATTGTAATGTCTCATCGTTTGGGGGCTGGACGGGGATGACGCTGGAGGTGGGAAGGGGAACCTTACCTTTCTTTCATAAAATGAGAGCAGCCCTACGGGGAAGGTGGATGTGTATATACTCTTGAAAGAAAAAAGAAAGGCTGGCCAGGCGCTTGTAGAAAACCAGAAGGTGTTGAGGGTCATCAGGAGGTTCTTGGGCTGAAAGAGGGTCTGAGTCTCTTAACGGAGCGAACCTTCAGTTTTGAACATCACTTACAATCCAGGGGCATCAGAGCCCCTTGACGTGCCACGCAGGGCCTCCGGCTCCCAGTAGGACACCTGCGGAGCCCTTGGAGCAGCGGCGCCCCAATAGGGATTCAGACCTCTATTAACTGGAAAGGCCTAGAAAGTTGCTCCCACCGGATGTTGGACGGCCCCCATTAACTGAAAGCAATGGCTAGTCACCATTTTTACGTTAAGGCCTTATTAAATAGATTCTTCACTCTTTCTTCCTTCTGATGCTGCTTTCACACAAATTTCATCTCACATAATTCATTCCTCCTCAATTTCCTTCCATTATGTCAAGATTTTTCAGACGTTTCTCTTAGTTTTGTTTTATTTTTTTTCAATGTCTTCAACTCCTTCCACATCACCATGATAGGTCTTTTGCTTTGAATGTGGCTCATCATTGTGGCATCAGTCTTCTAAAATATCTGTACAAGGACCTTTTACTCACGGAGGAATGATCATCTACATTCAAATATCTTCTTATACCTTCTACATCTTTTGCAAGAGGGTAAAAGAAGAGAGTAAACAGTTGTATCCGGCCTTGGCTTCACTGTGTCTGTGGTGGTGCAGGCTGGCACACCCAGGTGTGCACACCCCAGGCTCGGTCCATGGCTCCTGCCATTCACCCAGTCACCCAACACAGCCACCCAGGCCTGAGCCCACTCCCTTGTTCCCCAAGTACTCTGTAATCCTCCTCCTGGATGCGGTTGGCTCCCTGGTGTCTCTGTATCAGCCTCCAACCCTGCTGCAGGTGCCACGATGGGAAGATCCTAGGGATCTACCCCGCCCCCCAGACTATTTCAGCCGCCTCCTGTTTCTATCTTGCCTCCTCTATTTATTCCGTGAATATTCTTGAGATTCCCTACCATCCGCTGTGTTGGGGCGCTCATCATGTTGGGCAAGACTGACGATCACACCGTAATGGATGTTCCAGTTGACGAGGGGAGGGAAACGTGAATTCCGTGATCACAAAAATGTGTGAGCATAGAGTCTCGGCTGCCACAGTACCCACTGCATCCCCACCACCCCCAAGTCTCTTCCGAGTGTTTACAATCCTCTAGTACCTTCCCATTGCCTTTAGGATAAAAATCCCAAACCTAGTGAAGTGCATGGCATGTGTGTCCTTCGTGCTCTGGTCCCTAAGGTCTTTCCAACTGCTTCTCCCCACACCGGCATCCCCAGCGGCCTGCTTTGGCTTAGGCTCTTTTTGCTGCTTGAATGTTCTTAGCTGCACTAAAACTGATGACTTTCCTAGACTCAACTCAAACATCAACATTAATTTTTGAAAGCCTTCTTACCTTTTGCATATCCTTTTTGTTTCTCCAGCATGTGACATGACCTACCTTTGTGTCCCTCTGTCCCTATTTATTTTTTTAAAAGACTTTATTTATCCATGAGAGACTCACAGAGAGAGACACAGAGACACAGGCAGAGGGAGAAGCAGGCTTCCTGCTGGGAGCCTGATGTGGGTCCCGATCCCGGGTCTCCAGGCTCATACCCTGAGCCCCCCAGGTGCCCCCTCCGTACCTATTTAAACGTGCATCTCACCCCGCAGCACTTCATTGCTCTTGCACATCCACGTGAGCACCCGACCCAGTAGATGAGAAATGCGGCGTGGTCCCAGGCCCTCCTTCATTCTGCACCTCTGCATCCTTGGGGCCGGCTCCTATGACTGACACCTGGCAAGATAGCTCACTGCAGACGAGCACGTGAATGAGTAATACGGCGTCAGCAAGGGGTGACACGTGCTTGTTCTGCATACATGGTATAAAAGGAAGGGTTGTCCATTCACAGATGGGCTCAGCAGGCCACACACGTGTCAGGGACGGAGCTCGGCCGTGAGCAGGAGTGAACGACTGAGTGCATCAGTGACTCAGGGGAGCAACTCAGGAAATCTACGATCGCGTCCTGAAGTTCAAGTGGTCTTTCTTCTGTGGCCTTGGTGGAAATGATCTGTAGTTGGGGCTGCTCCGACTCTACCCAACCGGCCGTGTGGGCAAGGCCTTGGCTCCTAATGTACCAATGAAGAGGCCGTGGCGTTCCCATCCCAGGTTTTCGGCGAGGACTGAGCGAGATCCTGCGTGGAAGGTGCTTTGCACTGCGGCAGGCACGTGGGGAGGGCTACAGGGCTGCAGCTCCTGCTCTCACCTGCCCTCACGCCAGGCATTCTTTTTTTCCCCCCTCCTTCTAAAGTTTTAAAGAGAGTGCAGAAAACACTAGCACAGACCTCGGTGCACACACAGGAACCCAGCACAAATCTCATTTACAGACGGAGTCAGAACATCACAACATTTTACGGTTATTGCTGCAGTCGTCTTGTGCCTCCCTTCCCAGAGGTAAGGCCTCTACTGATGTTGGAGCTTGCTCTTCCTCTTAATTACTTTTTATACTTTTGTCACTCCTGTGTTTATGGAAGGACGATGTACACAATCGTTCTCTATGTGCCACTAAAATCTGTGTAAAAGAGTTATATTCTATGTCTTTTTCCTGCAGCTTGCTTTTTCATGTTACACTTCTGAAGTTTACCTATGTGGGCACATCTGTTACTGGCTCATTTATTCTATGTTGTGGAGATGCTACCAATTTACCCATCACGTGAACATATATGCATGAATATACATTTTTAAAAAATATTGGCTATTAAAACTCATTGACTATCCTCATATACATCTTACTGTGCACATATGAAAGAGTTTCTTTTTGTCCTTTTGCAGCTAGGATTTTGGGGGAGAATTAAGCCTCCTCTAAGGCCTCTGCCACATGTAATGAATGAATATGCTCCTACGAATCTAGAATGGAACCAGCGATGTACTTGGGTGAACGGAGAAAATTGTTACCCAAATTATTTTTCTATAGGACAGTTTTCTCACAGAACCCTGACTGAGAGGGGCAATATACAGAAAGAGAAATACTAGGTTATAGGGTATATATTGGTTCAACCATGTGAAATTGTCAATATGTGATCACCTCTGATCTTACAAAAACGGCAATTTTATATAACTTGACACGCATGCCTTTAACTCTGAAACACTTTGCCTGTCTGATGAGATGGCATTTTATTGTTTATGGTATTTTATTGTTTTAATTTGAATTTACTGAATTACAAGAGAGTCTAAGAATCTTTTTATATACTTACAATTTGGCTTTTCTTTTCTATTTATTATAGTTTTTGCCTCTCCCTTCCTCTCTGCGCCCCCCCCCCATTTCTCTAACCTTTTGCCTTTAAACATGCATATATGTATGTGATAGTAAATATCTTCTTCCTATTTTTGGGCCTTTACAATTTTTGTACATGGTATCATTTTATGCAGAAGTTTAAATTTCACTATGATCGAAATTGTCAGTCTTTTCCTTTAGAAGTTTTTCTTGTTATTTAAGACTCCTTTTCTTTGAGGTCAAAGTCTTTTTCTGTATTTCCCCTAACAGTTTCAAAGTTTTGCTTTTTTATGTTGTTTCTTAAAATATTTAGACTTTAATTTTGTTGGTTCTTAAAATATTTAGACTTTAATTGTTTTGTTTGGGGTTTGGTAGTGATGTAATATAAGTTTTTCCTGCCACCCCACCTTGCCTCCTCAAACCCACTCACGATCTAGAAATTAAAGGATTAATATCTGACACACCCAGGGGCTCTGGGATCAGTGCCAGAGCCCTTCTGTGTGATAAGTGCCCTTGCTTTTTGAATGTTTGGGCTCATGTTCCAACCAATACTCACTATCTTCAGTGATAGTTTAATAATTTCTTAATATGTGGGAAAAAAATTGCCCATGCTATGTTGTTGGTCTTCAAAATTGTCACACAACTTCTTTGCTTTTTGTTCAGTAAATTTTTAAGATCCGTTGATTCTCGATTAAGTTTTTCACACCTAAGCAAAAAAATCTAGAGATTTTCTAAGACACAAATGGTGTGTTGAATTGTGGATCCAAACCGAAAATTGTTTGCGTAATGATTTATGTTTATTTTGTGTGTTTTTTTGGGTCCCGTAGTGGTTGATTTTTTAAAATTTTGTTTGGTTATGATCGGGGGGGTCTCGGTCTCAATGTGTGTAGGGTTCCTCTTCAGAAGATTGTGGGGGGAATATTGAATTGTTTGTGGACAACCACCACCAACATCACCAAAACATCACAATGATAGTTTTCTGGGTACGGTTTCGGGGCATCTCGTAAACTAGACTGTGATTGTCTGGGTGTGTTTATCCATAGTGCATTATGTCTTCATCCATGTTGTCTTGCGGGGACTGGCCCTGGTACTTTCCTATATATGGCTTGGTTCAGAGGCTGGATTTGATTAATGATCAGAATTCCCGCTTGACTTCCTTCTTATTCTTGTTTAGTCCAGATTTGCAGTGGACTCCAATTCAAAGACAGGACTATGAATCTTTTATCTAGAAACATGAATGTGTTGTTACTTCCCTTGTATGGATCATGGCAGATCAGGTGTAGCTGTCGTGGAAATAGATTTTTTGCCCCACGTGATCCTGAATGTGTACTGCAGGTGGGAATATGGTGAGTATGCGAGTTCTACTCTCAGTCTTCTCCTTCATTTAACTGTGCCAGAATGCATTCTATCGTGTTGAAGCTTTCCTTTCCCTACTATTTGAATTTACTCTGATTTGAATAGTTTGTGTAACAAAAGGCAATATAGGTCTCTTAACTTTTTTTTTTCCATCGGATGCGCTGCTTGTCGTAACACACTTGCTAAGTTCCAAATTTATTCGGGCTTCGGTATCCTTGCAGAGAAAACGCTTTCAACCTACCCCCAGATTCTTGGGATGCAAATCGTATTCTTACATACGGGCAATCATTTTATGAAACCGCACAAAGACAACCGAACGCGTGCAGCTTTAAAGTGTAGAAGCCTTTAAGCAGATTTTGATTAGATTAAAAAATCCTAAAAAGGCACACATCAAACAGTCAGAACAACATCATAACCGATAGCTCAAATGTTAGTGACCACGTGTTTTGTGAACTGTTCATTTGCGTTAAGTACCTTGTTTGACTTCTATCTTTTAGCACTCCAAAGTTGCTAGTTTTATTATGGCCAAGTGAGCTACCTAAGTTTTGCTTTGCAATACCCTGTTCTCTTACGAATCAATAAAACCCTCCAATCAAGCAAGCAAAATGAAATGCCTAAACTGGCGATGAATGTAGACTCTGCGATGTGTGTAGAGGACCTCGTACTCTGTGGGCACGTTACAAACACATATACCACTCTTCCACTCAGTCCATGTCCTCCCGGCCCCCAGCTACCCATGCCCCCGCCCCATCCAAGTATCCATGTCAAGAGGGGCGTGTGCAGTGGGGCCAACGGGAATTCAGCCCACATGGGCCTGTGTGACAGCTAAGCAACACTGAGCATTGGCAACTCCCCAAATCTAATGAAACCTGCCCATTCTCCCTGCAAGAGACAGAGATTAGGTTTATTATCTACGAGTGTAAGCAAATGGATCCAGAGAGATACATCTCCAAATCTCTCTAGAACCATATATTATTTACTCCCTCCAAAGTCTTTGCTATTCACACTTGCCTCCTTGCTTAGCACGTCAGGACTACGCAGAAATGAAAACATTCACGGAAGATTTTTTTTATCAAATCTATGTAAATTCACTTAAGAATTCTAATTGTTGGTGGATTTTCAGTTGATTAATTAATTGAATTTTCTATATACACAATCATATCTTCTGTGAATAATGGCAGTTTTATTTTTCCATTTCCAATCGTTAAGCCTTTGATTTCATTTTCTTGCCTCACTGCATTGCTTGGAATCTCCAATCAGGGTTGTGTAGAAACGGGGATAGTGAGTCTCTGGGTTCATTCTTCACTTCAGGGAGAAACTATTCATTATGTGTGTTGTTAGGCTGTTGTAGATAACTTATGTCAGATTCAGGAAGTCCTTTTTTTTTTTTCTAATGTACTCACAGTTCTTTTTTAAAGATAATAAATGGGTATTGAATTTTCATGAAATTTTTTTTGCCTCTATTGACAGATAATTATATAATGTCTCTACTTTTTGCTCTTAATATGGTAAATTACACTGATAACATTTCCGAATGTTAAATCACCTTTGCCCACCTGAAATTCCATTTGGTAGTGATGTATTAACCTTTTTATGGGTGAAATTTTCTAATATTTTGTTTGGGATTTTGCATCTAAGCTCATTAGATAATATGGTCTGTAATTTTCCGGTCTTGTAATGATCTTTTCAGATATTGATATCAAGGTTAGGTTGCCCTCTGGAAATGAATTTGAAAGCATTTACTATTTCCCTTCTCTGGAGGTATTTGTATGAGTGTGAGTTTTTAAATATTTGAAATAATTCACCAGTGAATCCATTCAGACATGGGGTATTCTTTTTGTGGTAAGGTTTTAATGATGAATTCAATTGTTTTAATAGATATCAAACTAGTATTTCTTCTTCTTCTTTTTCTCAGTTCTGATCAGTCTCTTTTTAAAGAAAATCATTCATGTATATTTTAAAATTCATTGAATTTTGAATGTATCTTTACTAAGTTCTTCCTATTTCCTTTGGGGTTGAGTTGCTTTATTTATCTTCTTTAATCAAAAGATCAGATTGTTGCTTTTTTTTTAGCCTTTTCTTTTTAAGTATCTTTTTGAAGATTATAAATTTATTTATTTTGAAGACTGTTTTAGTTGTATCCTTCAAGTTTCCAAATTTGGTAAATCATGTCTTCATCATCATTTAATTTACAATCTGTTCTGATAATGTTCACGTTTTGTTGGAGGAGATAATGGATAAGGAGCACCTGCTGGTTGACCCTGGACCTGCACCTGGGCAGTTAAAGGCTCCCAATCCTCTGCACCTGCCCTTAGACTGTTGGCTCTGCCCACGTTTGCAAGGGAAGAACCATTTTAAAGGATGCAGGCTTGAGTGAACACAGTGTTGCTGAGACTCTGGGAACAGTGTGTGTGAGGGAACCCAGGTAAGACTCCCATAAAAATTTTTTTATTTATTTTTATTTATTTTTAATTTTTTAAATTTTTATTTATTTATGATAGGCACACAGTGAGAGAGAGAGAGAGGCAGAGATACAGGCAGAGGGAGAAGCAGGCTCCATGCACCGGGAGCCCGACGTGGGATTTGATCCCGGGTCTCCAGGACTGCGCCCTGGGCCAAAGGCAGGCGCCAAACCACTGCGCCACCCAGGGATCCCCTCCCATAAAAATTTTTAAGATTCTGGGGGGAGGGGGGGTTGGGGAGATGCAGTCATCTTATGACACCCTCAACAAACCTCCAAAGTTCCCTTGGTTCTAAAAACTGGCGCCAACCAACGTGAGGCAGTGTCCCACTTTCTTCCATCTCCTTGCCCACTGGGTGCAGGGTCGGTTTGCAAACCTACAGTTTTCTTTTTGATTTATGAGCATTTACAAGTGTGCTGCTTCGTTTTCAAGCAGTGAGGGGTTTTCTAGTTATGTTCATGTGATTTTTTTTTTTCAAGCCATTTGATTTATTTCTAGCTTGACCCCATGATGGGAAAAAATGCTGAAATTATTTAAATCCTTTGCAGTTTGTTGAGATTTGTTTTATGGGGCAGCATATGGTCTGCCTTTGTAAATATTCCACCTGTGTTTCAGAGATCTTGTATTGTTCACTTGTTGGATGCAATGTTCTACATATATCAGTATCCCTACTGATTTTTTTTATCTGCTTATTTTATCACCTAAGATTGTACAACTAATTCTTCTTTATTTTGCTACATTTTTTTTTCAAATGTCAACCTGTTATTGATAGCCAGACTATCAATAAGTATTTGGAACCTCTGTTGTTGAAGGAATACAGATTTAGAACTATTATATCTTTCTGGTGGATTGGCTCATTTATCATTATAAAATACACCATTAATCTCTGCTAATGCTTTTGCCTTAAAATTTTCTTCACCTGACTCTGCTTAGGTTTCCATGGTGCATCTTTTGCCATCCTGTTGCTTTCAACCTTCTCCTGTCTTTACGCTTTAAATTTGTCTCTTGAAGCAACTTAAAGTTAAATACTGTATTTTTAAGTCTTAGACTATACTCTTAGTCTTTTAATGGTAGCATTAAATCCCTTTATGCTAATATGACTACATATATATTTGTGTTTGACATTTTATTTGACCTCTCTGCTTTATATTCCTTTTTGCTTTTTTTTTTTAAATGTCTCCTTCTTGGATTAATCAAAGATTTTTATTTTTTTCTCCTCTATATAGTTTATTCTTTTTCATTTTCTAGAGATTAAAGCATGCATATTCATTTTGATATAAGCTAATATTATTTTACTACTACTTTAAAACTGTATAACCTTAGAACACTTTAATTCACCCTTTTCTGTATTATTTTTGTCATTTACCTATTTTTAAAGATTTTATTTAGAGAAAGAGCACACATTATCTGGGGAGGAGCAGAGGGAGAGAGACATGCAGACTGTGCTCAGCCCCTCACCCTCCCAGCAGGGCTTGATCCACATCCTTGAGATCATGACCTGAGCTGAAATCAATAGTAAGATGCTCAGCGCACTGAGTCCCCCAGGTGTCCCTAGTTTTTGTTAAAGTCTATTGGAAATGCTTTTTTTTTTTTTAAAACTTTGTAATAAGGGACACCCGGGGGCTCAGTGGTTGAGCTTCTGCCTTTGGCTCAGGGCGTGACCCTCAGGGTCTTGGGATCAAGTCCCTGCAGGGAGTCTGCTTCTTCCTCTGCCTGTGTCTCTGCCTCTCTCTTTCTCTGTGTGTCTCTCATGAATGAATAAATAAAATCTTAAAACCTTTGTAATAAAAATGTTTTTATTTTACCTTTGTTTTAAAATATTCTAGGTATAGAATTTTAAGTTGACAGTGTATCATTACTTTGTTTTCTGGTTTTCATTATTTCTTTGGAAAAATAGCTTCAATCTTTTCATAGCCACCTTTGAAGATGAAATTTCTTTTTTCAATCTGAATAGTTAATATTTTTGTCTTTTTTTTTTTTTAGCACTTTTTAAATAGCTAGCCTGGCTTTAAAATAAATTCATTTCAAAAGGATTTTTATTTTCTTCCCACTTTCGTCTTCCACTAACCTAAGGTAAAGATATGTCTTTTAAATGTTTTGGGAGACAAAAAACTTAAATCTCTGGAGCTGATGTTTAATTTATGGGTAGAGTTTTAAAAATTTCTAGTCTAATTTCTTTGTTATTGGACAACACAGGCTTTATTTTACTTATTCAGGTATCCATTTTGGCAATGTATATTTTTCTATAACCTTTTATCTGGGTTGTCAGATTTACTCTTAAATGGTTCTTCGTATTTCCACCCTCCCTCCTTCCATCTGTTTCCCCCTTTCTCTCTTCCTCTGCATTTTTTTCTCTTTGCTTTTTTTTTTTTTGTAGCTCAGTTGTATGGTTATAATTTTTAAATATATTTCTATATAGCATTTCTAAAAATTTATTTTGCTAGGGAAGACCATGTAACTTCAGTAATCTTAGTAATTTAATAATCCTGTAACCAACAGTAACCAGGTTGCTCGAAAGTCAGACCCAGCAGATTCAGCAGGACACTTTCACACTCTCAGGAAACAAAGCACAGCTAGTTGTATTACTTTCCCAAACAACAAAGTTCCTTTTGTGAGATGGTTGTGGCTTATCATTTATTTATTTTCCTATCCTAATTCTTTTTTTATTGCTCTATGTTTTCGTCTCTGTTTATTTTCCTCCTCTATTTTGGGGAGAACACGGCCATTTTCAAATACCTGCCATTGTAGGAAAAAGAATATACCTCTGGCCATTCCAAAAAATTAAGAAACATTAAATATGTCAAGATAATATGTTTCATCCAAACAGATGCATACTGTAGAGATGTTGTAATCCTTTTTCTGATCTATTGTATTTTTAGCAAAATTTGTCCTGCAGTTTGAATAACTCCTCCCCATGTGCCCATGAGAATCCATCTGCATTGTCTTTCTTCTGAGAGATGACTTTTTTTCATACCTAGAAGGGAGCCAATTGTGGGCCAAAGGCTAGAGACAAGCTACCTAGTGATTCTTTTCCTTGGCTTTGTCATCCTAACAAACCTTGTTATTACGCAGAAATGAATCCCTTCAATAATCCTTTAGGGGCTACAATCTTCCCAAACTATGAGAAATCCTATTTTCCTACTTCTTTACCTATTTCTTAATTTTTGAATGGATTGTGGACAATTTTATGTTGATGAATACAGTTTCTTTTGGTCTTCCTTTAGAAAGTTTGACAGGTCAGTAAGCTACTTTTAGATTCCTCTGAGAATTATTTCAAAGCTTTTAGAGTATATCTAGAAGAGCTTTTATTCCAGGGCCACTTTAGTCCTACTTTTAAGCAGTGACACATCTGGGATCTCTGCTGAGTCCCTGGGTGGTCTCCCTAAGCTAAATGCCAGAATTAAAATATCTCCCAGAGCTGGGATCTGAGAATTGTTGAACTTCCTGCTTCCTTGCTGGCAGTTGTCCTCGATTCTTTACCCATTGGCAGTCTCCATCGGTGCATACACATCTAGAGATGCAGCCGAAGCCCCCAAGAGGACACCTGTGCACATACGTAGAGCTCATCCTCTGTGTTTCTGTTCTGCCCCACAAATCTCCCTGCATCCCTGACCACAGCCCTTCTGCTTTCCCAGCGAGGTGAGACCACCACGGTTGCTTGCATTCTGTCTTCCTGAACCCTGGTTTGCAAAGTGCCTCCTGGTAGGAAGCTCTAGGGATCTCTCCAGGCTTCCTCATTTGTTCCTTCTCTTGTGGATCACAGACTGATACCACCTACTGTTCAATATCTGTCTATATTTGCTTCATCTATTTTGTTAAGTTTTTCGGTTGTTGATGCAGAGTTAAGTCTGATGGCCATTTCTTTGTCATGGATTGAAACAGAACCATTGGCCAGTATGATTCAAAGTCAACTAAGAATTTATTTTTCCTTGACTTTGGGAGGGAATTCTGTTACATTCTCCAAGGATACTTGGAAATACAAAATGAATTCCACATATGATATGAAAATGGATGAACTATAATAAAATTCATAGGTCAGGCAAACTCTTTAACAGTGTTTCCTTGCCTCTAAATCTTAACAGATACATGAACGGAATTCTTTCTCCAGTGAATGACCATCAGACTTTTTTTTTTTTTAACAGAAGGCCAGCTGTTAGCAATAGAATGGATATTGACTGAACTCAGTATTTCCCTTAGCAAACTATCAAAGAATTGACAAAACTAGAACCATGTTAAAAATATACATGTACAGCCCAGAGAACAGATGGAATAAATAACAGAGGAATTTAGAAATAATTTTTAAAATCCTTAGTGACTGTATTTCTCATGCTTCAGAATTGCCAATCATACTCCCTAAATCACAGTAATATTGAACTTAAAATAAAATCTGGTTTGCATATCTTTTCTATCTGATATGACACACTGTAGTTAACATGCCATTTGTGAAAAAACAAACATACTATTAAATAAATTGAATTAGTCATCCGGATAGCATTTACCTATTTCTTTCCTGAAACTTCGAAGAAGAGAAAGAGGAGATGGAGATATGAAGTGATAGCCCGGCTCTTCCTGGATGACAGTAGATCCATACCACACTATTACCCTCCCAACTCCTTAGCTGTATTATTTAGAAGAATATCGGTGTTAGGTCACAGGACTCTATCCACAGTTTGTTCTTGATTATCTAGTTGACTTGAGGGCTACTGAATATTGTCCTCTTCACTATTTTTCTAGCAGCCTGCCGAGGGCTTCCCATCATACAGACGCTAGGGGTTGAAGATCCCTATTAAATCGACAACATCTTGATAATTGTTGAAGTGAAGGGCTCATGGGGTTAGGTTCCCCTCTTGCTCCATATCAGCCTTTTGGTCTTCCTTTCTCTGCTTCAAGGGTTTTCCCTTTCTCCGCTGAGGCCTTGTTATTCCCGGAGCTCCATAACCCTCTCCCCGTGTAACTCCACTCGCCAGTCTCTCCATTCTCCGATGACAATTCCTGGTCTTTGATGTCATCCTCTTCCCTTCATCATTGAGAACCTACAGTTTGCTTCATCATGAACTCCAGCTTTGCCATGAACTCCTTGCCCCTTCTCAGGGTCCATTGCCCCTTTCAGCGCCCTTTGTGTGCACTCATGTCTTACAGCCATTCACAGAAACCTTTACTAGAATCTTCCAAAACCTCAGGCCTGCGCTGTCTGGTTTCTTTATGTCTGATCTGTGTGTTGCTGAGGCAAAGCTCTCCTGCACACTCACGCTAATTGTAAACTGGGTTCTTGCAGCTCTTTGGGAACCTATTAATTCATCTCCTTTGACTGGCAACTGTTCAGACGCTGACCCTACTACTGATTTCCTTATTCCTAAAAAACTGCCTTATCTCTCACTTTAAAGATATCAGATGAATGAGCGTAAATTCTCTCAACTTTCATTTTTCTTTGCCAATTTCTCTGCACTGTTTTTCTTTCTTTTTTTCCCCCCCTTTCTCTGTGTTTTAGAATGAGAGCCCTTCTCCTTTCTAGGGATAGATCCTCCATATACTGCTTGAGTCTTTAACAGTCTTCAGAACCCCCTCCGCCAACCCAGCTGCCATCTCCAGACAATGCTTTATCCAAATCTCTGCTTCTCGAACACATAGTACATATATACTTTTTGGTCCTTTGGTCACCTGGGGGGCTCTTGGTCATCACATATAGTAACCCAGATCGTTGTTATCATTGGTGCTATTGACTTTCTATTCAGAACTTTTTTCCTTTCAACTTTTTTAGTGCCTGAATCTTCCCTGACTTCAAGAAAGACTTGGCAATGGGTGAGAGGAACAGTAATGGGGTGGCCAGACAAGGCTGTGATGAAATAGGCTGATTGTATTCATGACCCTGGTGCTGCCTGGGAATTGGAAGTGCGGGCTCCTGGGAGTCTGGAAGGCCACCCACTAAGGTAAATTTCAGATCTGAGGACACAAAGGAAGGGTCATAACTGGAGTTACAGAGCCAATAATTTAGAGCTGGGAAGACTCTATCACAGCAGAAGCAGCTGGAACTGGACAGGGAATGTGGAGTTGGGGGTGTTCGTCCTGAGTGACAGCTTACACCCTGGCTGGTGTTTGAGGATTGCCTTTGTGAGCTGGCAGGGGCAGGATGCTTGGGCAGACCTGTCTGGTTCTAAGGCCATAGAAGAATCTACCGCCTAACTTTTCTGAGACTGTCACGGGCAGGGTTGGGATGGCCTCGCCTTATGTGTTCCCAGTAGAAAGCCTTGATGTGGCCTAGTGCATTTTTAAAATAATACTTGTTCCCAAAAAGTCCTTGAGTCCCTGTGTTTTTTGGTTGGTCCAGGTATTAGTGAATTAAAAATTGCCATCACTGCCGGATCTGGGTCCCTACTTCTTTCTGGTCGAATGGGCTGAATGTGGGTCTATATGTTCTTCAAAAGACAACCAAGTGAGGTTGAGGTCAGGTTAAGGGTAAGTTGCAGATGCATATTACCTGCTCACAGGGATCTCTCCCTTAGCACCTCAACTGAGGATGTCGTGTGCATCAAGGAGATACACCAAGGAAGGATATCATCCCTTATTGATCTGGGCGGTGGTGAGAGAACTGGAGAGATTGGATGAGAAGGCTGGCTGATTGGGCTCAGTGTGATGTGTTGTTCCGCGACACTTCCTTGTGTTCTTGATTTCCCCACTGGGTGTGAGGCCCTCATTCACTCAGTTCCAAAGACCTATAAAATCTGGCCTCTGCCCCACTGGCAGCAACTAGCATTCACTGATCGGGAATGTACACTGGAGCCTGATAGCCTCCCCCTTTACCCATGGGTGGCATTTAAATGTGGGCGATATGTTTGTGTGTGGTTCCTGTTCCATGATTTCTTCCTGACTTTTTGCAAGCATTTTCTGTATTACTGTTGTGCTCTTTGAGAGCAGTAACCCTTACTTCTTCGTTCAAGTGAAGATTTTTTTTGTCACTTTGACAACAGTAACTTTGGTGTTCATCGGTCATTCTGGACACGGGGTTAGTGTGCATGAATGTGCTGTGATTTGATCAGAGGTAAAGAAAATCACCTTGCTGATAACCTTAGTCTCAAACACAGGTGAACATCCATTTTTGAATTTTCAGTCTTTGTGTCAGTTTGTTCACTTAATACATACTATTGTCCCCCCGTTAGATTCCTATGCAACCACCTGAAATGACTCCATGACTGTTTGATTGCCCAGGGCTATCCAGTGGTCCCATTGGATTATTTTATGTCCTTGGATTGATTTCCTTTGTTGCTGGTAGTGCTGCAGGTTCTCCTGTTCCCTTTCCCTTACGGTTGCCTCACATTAATTTGATTACCCAAGGTGGCTTTGTTGAGAGTACTATATACAATAAGGTGTATTATAAGCAGTCGTTTTTAAAATCATTTGGAAGCAAATTGCTATGTCAATGCCCCATAATAACATTGACAAGTTCTGTTCTTCGCAAAGTCCTTCTTATTCCTTCAGAAATAAGTCCTACTCTTAAGAACTTTGGCTCTAAACTAAAATATGAGCCAGCAGGCATCATCCTAGAACACGCTCCAGGGTAATAACATTATTTCCATCATAAGGTGACTGTACATTTAGTAGGCCTAAGAAAAAGAGCCATTCTTCATGTTAGGGTTGTGTTCCAGTCTTCTCATTTTAACTTTTTTCCACTCTGTTGATGAGTGTGAGGCTTGTGTTTGAATTTGGAAGGACATTTCTGAGGACATTTCTTTGCTCCCTAATCCCTGTGTGAATTGCTCGTGTCAGCCGTGCGGTCCCGACTCGTAGTTTATTGCCTTCATTCATCCAGCTTTGTTCTCTCAGTCCCTTTAAAACCTCTAAATTCTTTAAAGCACACAGTTCTGCTCCTACTCTCCTTTCCGTATGATAGCATCAAAAAACCCAAAGTGGAAATATTTTCCTTTCTAGGACAGCCTTTGAGTATCAGTAGAACAGGGGTAGAGGTCATGATAATGTGTGAAGTCAGGGTGAATTAGATTAAATTTCCTCAATTTGGGCTTCAGCTGACTCTTCAAGAACCATTGTGGGCAGAAGGGGGAATAACGTCCTCCCCTGGATCAGGTGCCCATGTCAGGCAAAATATGAATTCAGCTTTGGGAAGTGGAGACCGACAGAATTTTAATTTGCCTCAAGAAGACTACCAGCTTGTGCCTAGTGGGAAATTGCATTTTTGACACTTTTGTAATGATCAGATCCTGCCTTGAGTTGCTTTCTAATAATAGGTTCCATTTGTTGAACTCCTATGATCCAGGTCTATATTAAAGTGCCTTATGTACGTAGTGGTTGTGAATTTTAGTCTATAACTCAAATGTGTAAACACAGATCTATTTTATTGAGCTAATTCACATATCACAAAATTCACCCTTTTTAAAACGTATAATTTGGTGGTTTTTTAAATTATTTTCTCTAAGTTGTGCAATCAACACCACTATCTAATTCCAGAAAATTTTCATCACCCCAATAAGAAACCCTGTGCCCATTAGTGGTCACCCTTTACTTCCCCTTTTCCTCAGACCCTGGCATCCACTAATCTACCTTCTGCCTTAATGGATTTGCCTTTTTTAGACATTTCACACAAATTGATTGCACAGTATTTGAGCTTTTGCATCTGTCTGGCTTTCTTAGTGTAATGTTCATTGCTATTACAGCATGAATCACTACTCCATTCTTTTTTATGGCCAAGTAATATTCCATTGTATGGATGTATTATAGTTTGTTCATTCATCACTTGATGGACATTTGGAGTTTTTCCAGGTTTTGTGGAAATGGATAATGCTGCTATGAAAATTTGTGTACAAGTTTTTGAACATTCATGTACATATGTTTTCATTTCTCTTGGGCGAAATAGAATTTCTGGGCCATATGGTAACTACATTTAACTTTTCAAGGAATTGCCAAACTATCTTCCCAAGCAGCTGTACCATTTACATTCTCATCAGCAACGTACGAGGGTTCCCCAATTGCTCCACATCCTCGCCAGTGCATCTTATCTTTATTATAACAATTATATCTTTATTATGTGTGTGAAGAGTATCTAATTGTAGTCCTTGTAGATCTTATGATCGTCAAGTCAACTTATTTTCTACTGTAAGCTTCCATCCTGCCAGGCTTAAGCTCAGTGATTCTCTGTGTTTGCTAACTGAGGTCACATCAAGATCCTAGGAGACTTCTACAATACCTGGATTTTGGCAGGTGATGAACAAAGCTATCTGGTCACTTGAATTACCCACACAGGTAAGTCCTAAACATCCAGAAGTTGGGTCCACATGGCCAGGATGTGTACACAGTCATCTCTGTCCCTCTTAGGACACTCAAACCTTTCGTGAGGGGGCCAAGGGTTACGTCTGCATACGGACATCATGAACCGTGTATTGCTTTGTTTTACTCTGCCCATCGTGGAGTTTGAGTGGTTGAGTTTGAGTACACATCCCCCCTACCCAAGGATCTCTCTAGTTCTCCTTTAGTCCCAAAGGAATCTAGCCTGGGGGAAACTTTTTTCCCTTCATGTTATGTTTCTCCCACCAAAAAAAAAAAAAATCATTTTTACCCCACTCTCCACTCAGGGGCTTAAAATTACATAAACAAAAGCCATGAAGGAAAATGACTTATAAGCAAAAAAACAAACATTTCTGCCATGCTATCTACTTCATCTTAGGCAATAAGCATAGAGGCCATTCCCTGCTTTTGCGGGGGTGAAGGGGGGAATGAAACATTTTAGGGTAGGATAGGCCTTCATCTAGCTTCACTATGCAGACCACTACCTAACACATAGACAACTAAATTTGCCATCTCAAAATGTTATCTGGTCACTGATGCAATTTATTATTGGATCCTCTCAATGTGAGGAGTGGGGATTATCACCCCTTTTGCAGATGGGGAAACTGAGAGCCTAAGTAGCCTATTAGGCAGATAATAAATATTGGTGTAATGACTTGGACTTAAACAGAGTTAACACAGTTCATAAGTGATAAAACTGAGAATGAAAACTCAAGCTTTCCACTCAGCCTCACTATTTAAACTTATTTGAGAGGTTGGTTCCAGATGACTACTTGCAGTCTAATAATGAATTTTGTCCCTGAATTCCCTAGACAGTGTAGTATTTCTTCTCTTTTGTACTGGAAACAAGGGTGATCAGTTGTACTATAGACATGAATCTTCAGTCCCCCCTGTACTGCTTCAAGTCAGGAAAAGTGTAACTGGACATATGTGCGAAAACCATGGAATCTGGATTTTTGTTATGTGGTTATAGTGGTGGTGGTTTTAATCTCCCAAGAACAAACTTTGCCATCAGGGCTTGATTTGCAAAAGGCTGAATTGAACCCAACGTAGGAGCGATTAAGTGTGGCATTTTCCATCTGAGGGGAATGACTGCCTTGGTCACTGGAATTTGGGATGTTGGTGTTTTCTGAGACCATTTCCTGTTCCATCCTCTCAATAGCTGTGGCCAGTGACTTATGTCCCACTGCACTTGGCTCAAAAACCACACCCTCTTCTCAGTTTACCTTAACCACCGTGAGGCCAGGTATTACTGGCAAGCAGGTGAACTTACCTTTTGCAGAGGATGCCTTTTCTTTCCATACTTTAATTCCAGGTAGTTCCATAGGCCCTCCTCTGCCCATATTTCTCCCTGACCAAAATGTATGGGGTGCCTGGGTGTTCAGTGAGTTAAGCCTCTGCCTTTGGCTCAGATGGTAATCCCAGGTCCTGAGTTCAAGTTCCACATTGGGCTCTCTGTTCAGCTTCTCCTCTCCCTCTGTCCCTCCTTCACCCTGCCATATTCTCTCTCTCTTTCTCTCTCTCTCTCTCTCTCTCTCTCTCTCTCTCTCTCAAATAAAATCTTTAAAACAATGTGCTCCTCAAAATACTATCATCCATCATTCATACCTTCC